ATAAATCTATACATGACACTTCGGAAAACCCATAGGTCGGAGACGGACCGGGTCGCCAACGCGTCGTCCCGACATCGGACCGCCGCGCCCAGCCCTGGCTGGCTCCAGTCGGTTCCGCGGAACCGCGCCAGATCGAGTCGAAGTGCAGTCGCGGGCCCCGTCCGCGAACGGAATCGCATCGCATCGAGTTTTAGGTCGGGCCTGGCAGGGGTGCTCAAGAGGGTAGCTCGAGATGGCCCCCCTCGCCAGTGTCACAGGAGGGACCAGGAGCCTGGTGAACCGAGCCAGGCCGAGTCGAACTGCAGTCGCGGGCCCTGTCCACGTACTGAATCGCATCGCATCAAGTTTTAGGTCGGGCCTGTCCCCCTACAGGGGGATTTTGGACGAGATGCTACAAATACAATAAGAATATACAAACATATTCAAACATGGTCAGAACATCGTCCCCAGGCTATTTTTGTGACTATGTTTGAATTTTCCCCCTGTAGAAGGACAGGCACGACGGGTGACTCGAGGGCCCCCTCGCCAGTCCCACAAGAGGGAGCAAGATCCTGTCCTCACCAAATGTTGGCAGCTGCTGTTGGGAACGAAGACGTGTCCGAACGAATACAGGTACGTCGGTCTCAGTGATAAACGCAGGAGCAAGAGCGGTGAGGCTGGGGCTGCCATCGACACAACAGAACCAATCTGGTGGGAGGGAGGAGATGGTATAGGAGAGAGAGAGAGAGAGAGAGAGAGAGAGAGAGAGCGAGAGAGAGAGAGAGAGAGAGAGAGAGAGAGAGAGAGAGAGAGAGAGAGAGAGAGAGAGAGAGAGAGGAGGGATGAGCATTTCGGAAAAAAGGATGATGGGGGGTAGCAAAGGCGGGGAATAAACGGGGGGGGGGGGGTAAATGGAGGAAAGCACGAACATACATAGTAAGGAATGGAATAGGGCACCGCGGACTACGTAATGCTCACAGAGTCCGCGGGTGAAGGTCGAGAGCTATACACACACATGTATATATATATATATATATATATATATATATTATCTATAATTTACACACACGCGCACTAGAACCACGCGCGCGCTACGCGCGCGCTTAGGTTCTAGTCGACTGCGCAGTCGTTGTCCATCGACCTTGTGCTGATCCACGAAACCCAAAGTACCCAGGGCACATGTTCCCGGGCAAGGGCCGCCCTTGCGTGGAGGTGCTGGGCCTCCTGGGGGGGGGGCTTGAAGCTCGGTGGGCGGCCGCAGAGCCCTGCGATGATCGATGTGCGACGCGTGAACGGAAGATTGCGCTTCCTGGGGCGTGCTTTGCTTTTCTGGGGCGTCCGGACTCTGGAGATCTGTGGAGCCTCCAGGGCCTCCAAAAACCTCCTGGGGCTCTCCCGAAACTCCCGCAGGCCCCCACGAAAGCTTTTGAGGATAGCCTGGGAGGACCCAAAAGGGCGCCAAGAAAACTCCCAGGGAGGCCCCAAAGCCCCAACAATTTAACACAACTTTGACACGCCACCGTCCTTGACGAGGAAGCGATGTGTGTTAAACTTGTGTTGAATTTGGGGCCCTCTTGGGGTCGTCTTGGATCTCTCTTGGGGCGAGAATGCAGGAAAACCTATGAAATCTCATTCTCTTTTGCCTCTTGCGCCCATCTGGGGAACGCACATGGAGACCTCTTGGGCCGTGTGGGGGCATCTCGGGGCATCGGGGGGCGTCTGGCCGAAGGTGCCACTTTGGATTTTCAAGGTGCCCCCCCGCCTCCAGATCGCCCCTCACGAGGCCCAGAGGGCCCCAGGGGCTCCAAAAATTGACCGAAGACCTGGGGGGCTGGGGGCGCCTTGGGCCAGGGGCCCCTCGAGCAATCCCCGACCCAGACATGCTCACGTCGTGGCGAAACCAGGGCGTGGAAGGTGTGTGGCCGTCTTCGGCCCCCAGGAGCCCTCGGTGCCTCCGGACCGTCAGAGAGCGGCCCGGGATGCAACGCGGGCCTGGCCCTGGGGAAAAGGTCGGGACTTCCAGGGGCCCCGCATTGAAAAAATCACGCACGCAACATGTCTGGGCATTTTCGCCCGTGTTCGGGGGTCGGGACCCTGGCAGATCGACCCGGCTCGAAAAATGGCACAGACATCTGGGGTCAGGGGCTCCGGTTGTAATTTTTCGAAATGTTGTTCATGGTCGGAGGATGGCGCCGCATCGCCAGTGCATCTCATATGCATCGGCTGTGCGTCGGCGACGTCGGCGATGCATCGGCGCCGTCGGCGTGGAGAACAGCGGGCTCCACGCCGAGCTGCATCGGCGATGTTTCGGCGGTGCGGCGCGATCCTCCGACCCCATCTATTCTTGTTCGGCCCAGGACCCAGATCTCGGACGACCCTGCGATCAGGGCGTCGCTTTTGTTTCACTATGTGCGTTTTCGCCCAGCCTCGGGGCTCGGGACCATCACGGATCTATCCGGCTCGAAAGATGGTGCAAAAAGATGGGGTCTGAGGCTCCAGTCGCGATTTTTCGTGAAGTTGCAATTTCGTGGCAACGTCGGACCTCAGGGGTCTCGTGCGACCAATTTCTTTCTTTCCCGGGTAACGGTCGTTACCCAGGGGGGTCAGACGGGAGGGATAGACCCGCGCGGCGGCTGACATGGACCATGTCCAAGGTCGGCATCAACAAATACCGCGACATCTTGGCCATGGTTTCCATGTTTCTTGCCTCGTCTTTGGGCCCTACTTGGGAGGCTCGGAGATTGCGAGTTCGGACCGAGGCGATGCCCTCTGCAAGGTCACTCTGGGGCCTCGCAGGGGGCCCGGGAACATGAGTGCCGCCACCATCGACAAGAGGAGGAGTAGGCGCAGGAAAAGGGGAGGCGGGCTGAGGCAGGGCAAATAATAACGACATCGAGGGGGTCATGGGGGGGGAAGCGGGGGACGAGAAGTGATAACGCAGCCCTACTCAGCTGCTGCTCTTTCCTCCCGTCTTCCCTCGGTTCTTCCTTTCTGTTCCTCCTGACTCTCCGCTTTCGTCATTCCCTGATTCCTACTTTCGGCTTTTCGTGGTCCATTGGTTTCGTCTCTGCTTCTCATTCCCAAACGCCCTGCCCCCCCGCGGATCTGGGCCATCCCGGGCCATCCCTGGCACCGCTGTCCCGGGCCTGCAACAGACTCCCAGGAGGGCTTCAATATGGCTCAGGACGCCCTCGAGAGAACCGACGAGGGCCACAAAGCTTACTAACAGTGACGATCCCCGGCGGACCTGGACGTCAAGATCACGGAGAGACCCACGAAAGCCACCGCGACAGGCTCAAACAGGGCCCCCAAGGAGCCCCCAAAGGGGCGCAAAGAGAGCTCCCACAGCGCCCCCCGAACCCCAACAATGCAACACACATTTAACACAACGCCGTCCTTGACGAGGAAGCGGTTCGTGTTGAATTCGTGTGAAATTTAAGGGCCCTCTTGGGGCCGTCTCGGAGCTCTCTTGGGGTGTCATGGGCGCGTCGAAGGCCGTCAAAGGGTTTTCTTGGGCCGTCTTCGGACCTTCGTTGGGGCCTCTTGGGCCATCTCGGGGCGGTCTTAGGGGCCTTTTGAGACGTCGTGCATTCGAAAAATTAGAACCCAAGGGGAATCGTTTGTTTTTGCCTTTGGCGGCCATCTGGGGAGCGCTGCTCCAGTCCTCTAAGGCCGTCCAGGGGAAGTTGGGACGGAAGACTCGAAATATCGCTTCGGGCTCCTGCGCTCGGGCCCCACTTGGGACCGTCTTGGGGCGTCTTCGGCGATTCCAGGGCCGCTCAAGGCCCCCTTGGGCCGTCTTTGGGGGCCGTCTTTGGGGGCCCCTTGGACGGTCTCAGGGGCCTCTAGGGACGTCGTGGAGCGTCGGAAGCTGGGAAAGTCGGGAGGCCCGGAAGCATTGCAAAACCATTGAAAATCAATGCATTTCGCCTCTTGTGGCCCACTGGGGAGCGCTCGGAGAGCCCTCTTGGCCCGCCTGGGGGCATCTTGGGACGGAAGGGTCGAGTTGTCCTTTCTGTCTCCTGCTCGTAGGCCCCTCTTGGGGCCGTCGTGGGGCCCTCTTGGGCCGTCTTGGGCCCCTCTTGGGGCCGTCTTGGGACCCTCTTGGCCCGTCTTGGGGCGGTCTTCGGGGTCTATTGGGCCGTCTTGGGGCGGTCTTGGAGGCCTCTTGGGACGTCGTGGAGCGTCGGAAGCTCGAAAGTCGAGAATCCCAAAAACATCGAACACAACAATGGTAAATCAATGGTTTTTGCCTCTTGGGGCCCTCTGGGGAACGAAAGTCGACCGGGACTGCCCCGAAGCCCCGCGGGCCATCTCGCAGCCTGCTGGCGTCACTGTGACGCCACTTAAGGCCGCCTGGGCACCTCTTCTTGGGCCGTCTTGGGCCCCTCTTGGGGCCGTCTTGGGACCCTCTTGGCCCGTCTTGGGGCGGTCTTGGGGGTCTCTTGGGCCGTCTTGGGGCGGTCTTGGAGGCCTCTTGGGGCGTCGTGGAGCGCTGCTCCCGAGAGGAGGCGCCCGAGAGCCCTCCGAAGGGACCCCAAGAAACATCCATGAGGACTCGGACCCACAACCCAGGTACGTCTCAAAAGTCAGCTGGAGCTCTCTTGAGCCATCTTGGCGCCCTGTGGGGCGGTCAATCGGCTCTCTTCGACACGGTGGAAACCACATCTCCAAAGATCTCCTCATGGGCATTCCTGACTGTTCTCCCCGGGAGCGAGCGCACCACCACGCAACCACAATGATGCAACGGGCCAGCGGAATGAGCGCAGCGATCAAATATGGATGGACTGGTTTTTCTGGCCATGGCGAGCCTCGGCTTAGAAGAGGATCCTCTGCCTAGATCTAGCGAACGGCCCGAAAACCAGAGCCCCTCACGAGCTCAAAGTGGTCCTTATTTCAGAGTCTGGACTTTAAGCTCCCCTGGATGCGAGTCCTGATTGCGGATATGTCCCACACACCCGATGTGGCCACGATTATGCATTCAAGCAATTACCTGTGGCATGCTGCACTTCGGATCATCCCTTCGACACTGCGGACACCTTCTTTTTGCCCAATACGGCACAAACGGTTTCGCACAAGGCACGGGATGCTGTGTCCGATCTAATCATATCTGCGATTCGCAAGCTATGCCTGTCGCCGTGCAACTGGCGATCGTAAAGACAGGTCGGGCATGTCCCCGTACAGGCGGATCTTGGAGGACAAGTAAACAAATAATAAACCAATTATCAAACATTGTCGAACATAATAAAAAAGATCGTCCCCAGATTTTTTTGGACTATTTTTGAACATTCCTCCTGTAGAGGGACAGGCCCGACCTCAAACTGTGCCTGTCGCCGTCCAACTGGCGATCGTAAAGACAGTTCGCCTGGCTCCGCCGTGAACCAGGCGCGACGTGCACCGCAGTGCCAGAAGGCTCCCCCAGCCCTCCTGTGGAGCCTGGCCCTAGCTTCCTCTGCGCTTCGCCGCGCGTCGCCTTCATCCTCCTCCTCCTCCTCCCTCTTCTCCCTCCTCCTCCTTCCCCTCTCCTCCGTCCTCCTCCTCCCTCCTCCTCCCTCCTCCTCTTCCTCCTCCTCCTCCGCCTCCGCCTTCGGCACCTCGGTCTGGTGACGTTCAGAGCACACGGCGCGCCCCCTCCTCCTCCTCCTCTCCTCCTCCTCCTCCTCCTCCTCCTCCTCCTCCTCCTCCTCCTCCTCCTCCTCCTCCTCCTCCTTCCTCCTCTCTCCCTCCTCCCCCTCCCCCTCCCTCCTCCTCCTCCTCCTCCTCCTCCTCCTCCTCCTCCTCCTCCTCCTCCTCCTCCTCCTCCTCCTCCTGCTCACTGCTGCCTTCTCCCCTGCCCCACATGATGTTCGCTCCGGCACGCCCCTCACACGGAGCGTGCCCCCTAGGGAGCTCCACCTACGGCCCAGAGAGGGCCTTGACATGGCGTCGCCCCACAAATGTCTGCACCCTCACACGTATCGTGCCCGACAAAGAACTCCACCTGTGATCGTGCCCCACAAGTAACTCCAACTACGGCCCCAATGGGGGCGTTCCAGTGGGGTCACACCGCAATTTTCTTCAAGTGCCGCGAACACCCAGAGATATGGACTCCTTCCCTGTGATCGGATTTTCATGTGGAGGCCGCAAATGGCACAAGACACCCCGTCGTAATCCCACCAGCTCTCTGAGCGTAGATGGTTTAACGAATGTTGTCTTCTTTCTTCCGGCAGCCCCTCCTTCCCCTGCTCAGGGGAAGGGTTTACTCCTCCCCCTCCCCCTCGTGTGGGCCTAGGGGGGGGGGGGGGGGCGAAGGGTTAAAGCGTTCAAGATGGCCCCAAGGGGGCCTTTGAGTGCGCAGGATGGTCTCCAAGATGGCTCAATATATCTCAAGATGATTCAAGATAGCTTCAAGACGAGCCCAAAACTGTTTCAAGTGCCCTCCGAACTCGCAAGGCCCCCCCCCCCCCCAAGGGTCCAACGCCCTGCAAAAGGCTGCGGGGAATCATAGTTGTTTGCCTTCTCGTTTTTTCGCTTCTCCATGGGCTCTTGAAGCCTCATGGCGGCCCTAAGACGGCCAACGAGAGCTACAAGAGGGGTCCAAGAGGGCCCCAAGAGCGCCCCAAGAGGGCCTCAACATTGTGTTTAAGCATCCTGGGGGGGGGGGGGGGGGGCACGTGGATACATGACCCTCCTCTTTTTGAGACATAGTACCCAATACGGCACCAAGAGGCCTCCCAGACGCTCAACAAAGAGCCCCAAAAGAGGGGCCCAAGAAAGCCCCAAAAGGGCCTCACGAGTGCCCCAAGAGGCTCCGCGAGGACCCTCAGAGAGCCCCAAGATGGTTCCAAGAGACCTCCGAGAAAACGCTTCCAAGGCGGTTGTTGCACTGCATGCGTCCACGCTGCCCTGATCAAGGCAACTCGCCTGGCGATCTGTTTCTGGATGGGTTGGTGGGGATACTTTTTGGTACGCGGGCGCGCGAAACGAGTCGAACGCCGAGCAAGCAGGGTCAGGCCGTGCCACAAGCTAAGGGAAACGCAGCGAGGCGAGCAACGCCATGCACAGAGAGGCACCGGGATCACGTCCATGGAGGTGTCGAACTGGATGCAGGTGCAGTGGAAGAGAGCGACCCCACTTACGACCAAAGAGTGGAGGTTTGTGGGGGCACGCGAAGCGTCAATAATTCTTCACAACGAGCAGAGGCGGAGGTAGATCGCGCACTGTTGGCAGCAAAGCCTGCGGCCCCAGCCACTCTCGGCACGCCCCTCCGACAGATCGTGGCCACATTCAGTCGCCCCAGTCGTATTCCTCCCCCCTTCCTCCTTCCTCCTCCTCGTCCTCGTCCTCCTCTCTTCTCTCTCCTCCTCTCTCCACCTCCACCTGCTCCCTCATCTTCCTCCTCCTGCTCCTCCTTCTCCTCCTGCTCCTCATTCCTCCCCTCTCCTGGTCCGCACCATATGATCAGAAGACCACCTTCGCCAGGCTACTTCAACATTAACCTGATAAATCAGACGTTCCAAACACTGGCCAGTAGTAGCGTAACACGCCGTGTCCTGCAGCAGATGAGCGTGCGGACTTGACCATCCACTGCAGCAGCTGCCGTCCTGCTGCAATTCCGTTCCAAGCGCTCTTCTCGAGCGTGCCGCCTCAGAGCGTCAGATCACATCTGGCGTGTGCTGACCTGCAAAAGAGACGGCGGTGCAACAACAAGAATACTCGTGTGATGCACGACGTATGACTGAAGGTGTAGGTTGGGCCACCAGCGCAGGTGCCCTGAGCAAGAGCAGCCGCGGGCATGACCTCGCGGCGTGCCCAGGGAGGAAGTGGAAAGGAGAAGGCCATGTCAGAAGGCTTGAAAGTCCCCAGGCCTTGTGAGAAGTGTTCCAAGCCTTCCCCGAAGACACACATCACCTCTCAGAAGGCTGGATGTCTTCAGAGAAGCCCCGCCGCCTTCTGAGAGAAGGCCTTCTCCTTCTCGATTCTCCCCCTCGCTCGCCGCCGCATTGCAGCACGACGCCCGCAGTCAAGGCGTGGAGACCCTTCGGCTGCGGGCAAATGTTCGAGTAGGGGATCGACTGCAGAATTGATTTGCCACAAGATTGGTTGTTCCGCAGAATCTACGAAACATGATTGTAGTACTCCTCAGATCTACGGACGTGTCTATGTACTTTTAGCCGACCCGACGGAAACATCAATTTTTGGGTGAATGAATTTTGGCGGCGCGCGCAAGGGGGTGGAGGGAGGGGGGAGGGCTTCTTAGAAGGAGGCTTCTTCTTAGAAGGCGCCGGCCTTACATCTATAGAGAAGGCCCGCGCCTGCTGAGAAAGCAGGGGTGCTTCGAAGAAGCCCTCCCCCCTCCACCCACCGCCCTCTGCGCGGGGCTGACAATTCTGAAGTCGATCTCCTCCTCGAAGAGTGACCAAGATCGGGGCTGCCTTACAATGCGGAACCTAGCCATGCAGCACAGCCACCACCGCCTTGGGTGCGGGACGGCTGCGCCCCTCGCAGGGCGAGGAGAAATCGACCGCTCGCCAGCTGGTGTTAAGTCGGACCTGTCCTCCTACAGGGGGATTTTTGGCGAAAAATAAGCAATAGTAAAAAATTCTCAAACATAGTCGAACGTACTCAAAAATCGTCTCCCGATTGTTTTTTGACCATTTTTGAAAGTTCCTCCTGTAAGAGGACACGCCCGACTTAACGTCAGGGGGGACCAGCTCAGGGGGGGGCACATCGACCTGGAATCGGGGATGGACCGCCGATGGGGCCCCCGACATCGAACCCGCACGTTCCTGGGCGGGGTGGGCCGTCGGGCCCTTCTCGGCGGTGAAGGGGCGATGGGGGTCGACGCGTCCCCCCCTTTAGCCTGCCCCCCGGAGCTCGGCGGAGGGCGAGTTGAGACAGAGGGAGCTCAAAATCGGCTCCCCGGACCCCTCCTGGGGTCCGAGCGCGTGGGGCTCCCCGAAGGCCAACTGCCGTCGCCTCATCTCGACCCCTATCGTTGCGCTCTGGTTTCCAGGTCGTAACTCGGCTCTCCAGCGGCCGTTTCGGACGATCCAGGCACCCCAGGAATGCCCTCAGCGAGGCGCAGCCGCTGGAATGCATCCCGAGGCTGGGAAGCCGCCTAGAACCAACGAGAACACCTGAAAATCCTCTCCTGGCTGTCTAACTGTCCCAACTGGCCCTCCTCTGACTCAACGGGCTCTCCTCTGACCAACGTTGCCCTGAGATGGGCAAAGAGCGTGAACCTTCGCGTGCGCCAGCACAACTCTTCGAGAAGGAACAAACACATACAAAATATAAACTTTCGACGGTGCGCGCGGATTTCTTGGATTTGCGCTGGGCCCCCCTCCTTGGCGCGCAGAGCGCGCCACGGGCGGCGCTGGAGGCGCCGTCAGGGGGCCCCAGCGCAGATCTAAGAAATCCGCGCGGAGCGTCGAACGTTTATGTTTTTGTGTTTTTTTTCTTCTTCGAACTCTGGTTAAAAGGGTGACGAGGTCCCGAGCCAGCCCGTGACACCGGCGTCAACCGCCGGGCGAGGGGCGCGCATCACATGGTGGCGCGCCAAAGGGGCGCGCCGGGTGCTCCCAACGTCACCAGACCGAGGTGCTGAGCGCGGAGGAGGAGGAGGAGGAGGAGGAGGAGGAGGAGGAGGAGGAGGAGGAGGAGGAGGAGGAAGAAAAGGAGGAGCAGGGCACGCGCTAAACCGTGTTTTCCTAACAAGGGCGGCGCCAGAGTCGCCGCTGGGGGGGGGGCATCGCCGATGCAGGAATTCTGTGCAGACCTTCAAAACTTTGGCTGATGCTGGCCTTGATGGTTGCGTGACAATAACCCCATAAGCCCCCAAAAATGGCTGCCCATGTTGGACATGCACTGGCGACTCTTTGTCGCTACATTGTAGATTGTTTACTATACTGTTAATCTCACCGGCCCGCTGGACGAAGGTGGTCAAGCGAGCTTTTGCTGTGTTCCAAAAGCCTATTTTTTCCTTGGAGGTTGCTCGCCGTCCCTCTGTTTTTTTCCTTGTGTGTGTGTGTGTGGGTTCGCGGGGCGTTGGAACGTCCAGTATGACCTCGGCGAGCAAGGCCGCAAACATGTACTTTGTGATGGTCGGTCAAGGGGACCCCCGCGAGGGCTCCAAAAGGGCCCCACAAGACCCCTCGAGAAAGTCCCATAATGATTTGAATCTCCCCCAAACAAAACCCCAAGATGGCGTCAGGAGGGCCTCCGATGCTCCGAAATGGCGTCCAAGATGGCTCAATATAGCCGAAGATGGCTCAGTACAGCCTCTAGCATACCTCCAAAGAGGCCTGGCGAAGGTCGCAAGAAGGTTCCATATGCTTTCGGAGCCCCTTACATACCCCCCCCCGGGAGACCAACACGAACATGGGATGGTTAGCTGTTACCAATGTCCCAGCCATGACGTAGCGTAAGTAAGGGAAGACGAGGAGAAACATGGGCAAGAACGTGTAGGGGGATGCGTTATCAAAAAACGATGTATGTTTACCCCACGCAACGTATAGACAGCAAGCTGTCGAAGCATATAGATATATTTTTATGCGTATATAGGGAAAGAGGGAGAGAGAGAGAGAGAGAGAGAGAAGAGAGAGAGAGAGAGAGAGAGAGAGAGAGAGAGAAAGAAATAGAGAGAGAGAGAGAGAGAAATGTGTTGGCTGCGCGCGCTTTGAGCCACAAAGGCAGCGGATAGCTCGCTTTCTTCGCCTTGGACATCCGTTCACAATCGGATGGGGGAGGGGGTAATTGGCATATCCGCTCGCAACCTCAACTACGTTGAAACTGTGCTAACAAAGGCCGTGCGGTAGACAATCCCATTTCCCGGCAAATCGTTAGACTGATGCAATTGATCGTTCGTCCGCCCAGGGTGAAAATCCAACAACTGCCTCATGCGCCAACCCTCGTAAGACCAGGCTCAGAAGTTGAAGCCTGGCTCGCCCAATACGGTGCGTATTTCTTCAATTCGTTCTTGAAAAACTCAACACCCGACATCACCTGTAAAAGTATATCACGGATAATGCTACCATTGGTATGTCCGTCGGCTGTCATACCACGTTGCGCACCACTGTGCGCTATCTACGAGACCCCTGTCCATCATTTGTCTAATCCAGCTTATGCGACCGAGTAATGTATTCTCTGTCGGTTGATGTAAAGTCCACCCATTTCCTATCTCTGTTTGACCTGTAGTGGCGTGGGTGGTCCCGTTTGGAAATCGCGATGCGTCGCGAAGGCCGGGTGGCAATCTTCCAATATGCGAACTGCTGTTAGCGTTTCGGCTGAGTAGCCGGAGCTTGCCTGCAGCTGGTGCGACTTGCAGTGCGCTGCTGCCAAAAGACGACGGGCTTTCCACTTTGCATGTCCACGCCTAAGTATGTCGACACCTCCGACGCCTGTCCCCTGTTCCTGGTCGCCGGCGTCGCCGATGAGGCGTCGGTGGCCAGTGTCGCAGTGCAGGTGCAATTCTCCTGTTGGGGTCGTATCTTGGTCTGTCATATCTTTGGACCTGACTGCTATTTCCTGGTGATGGCGTTTAGTCGTCGCGCCTGCAAATTGGTTGGTTTCTGGACACGTTGTAGAGATACTGCGTGTACCGCCAACCGTGCTTGGGCGAATAAGGCGCACGCCGGGGCAGCCAAAAGTCTGACGAGCATGTCAGTCACGCTCTTCGTCGCCTTTCCTTCAGTCTCAGCACCTGTGGATTCGGGATGCGATATCGGACGAATATGTTTGGCGCGTGTTCGTCCTGGTCGAGACCGGCGCTGCCGCCGACGGGTCATGGGCGACGCCGAATTCCTCGCCGCGCGGGGTCGCGATCCGAATGCCCGCATTGTCGCGCGAAGCTTCAGCGAGAACGCCTTTCGGGCGTCTTTGGCCCCAATGCCTGGTTGAAGACGCTGTAAGCAGTGCTTCGTTTCGTCGCGCGGTGCGAAGCTTTGGATTGACCTCGGGGCGAGGCGAAGCAGACCGCCCGTTCTTCCTCGCCGGTTGCCTCGGCCAGCCCTCGGCGCGCGAGCCCCTTCAGGAAAGCTTCGCCAATATCCGTGGCCGCGATACTGCACTGTCCTTCGCGTGCGGCCGCGCTGGCGAAGAGCCTCTAATTCGATCGCCTGGCTGCGCCCGGGTGCCCGAAATGGCCTCCGCGTGGAAAGCCTCGAGGTCCAAAAATCCTGGCAACGCTATGCGAAGTCGCCTGGTGCGTGCAATTTCTCCCTCTTCTTGCAGCAATTCTATTTGTGCTCGTGCCTCGAAGTCATGATGCTTGACGCTTCCTTGCTTGCCGCATCTTGAAGCATCTACTGCCGAACTAGATCTTGATTTCGGTGCATAGTTCCTAAGATATATTGACGGAGTCTCTTGGTCCTCAGATTCGTGAAGAGGTCGTCCTTGTCTACACCAACAGCCCGCTTTGAATTCGCTGTCGCGCGTACTCGCATGGCACTGACGCAGTTGTCGTCTAGTAGTCGTTGCTGCTGCTGTGACAACGCGACCTTGGACATGTCTGCTGTGCAACATTGTTCGACGTATTGAGCGTGATCTTCGGAGTTTCGTCCGCATGTCTCGCCATGACTAGTTGAGCATAAGTGAACGCGGTCACTTTCCTCAGTGACGCACGGCAGGTTGCCAAGCGTTGACAGGTGGCCAGTTTTCGAGGGTCGTCAGAATTGGTGCCGAAGATGCTGCCTCAATTGGAGCGCGCCCCCCAATGCTCCTTTTCCGTCCAGTAATTCGGTGAACCATGTCTCCATGATGCGTGCCTCGAAGTCGTTGTCGGACTCCTCGCAGATGGTGGCCCAGCGTCTGCTGTTGGACTCGGGGGGGCGGGGAGGGGGAATTGGGCATCCTCCTGAGCGTGGCCGCTATGTGGTGGCGGCGCGTCCTCCAACTTTACGACCTTGCGCGGGTCCTCGTCGAAACCCGCCGCAAGTTTCGAAGGCTCGAGGCAGTTGATCACCCGTGCGTCTGACGTCCCAGTAATGTCGTATAAGTGTAGGGCAGTGCCTGTGATATGTAGTCGCGGAGTCCTGGGACAAAATGTCGTTGTCGTAGTGCGCCGGCATGCGGCCGTTAACGCTATTGGTTGCAAGGGTTTGGTTCGTGCTTTTGGCCAATCTCACGGTGGCAACGTTTTCGATTCGGACGTAGTTCCGCACCAAGCACTGGAAAGCCAAGTGGGCCTTCGGCGGTAGCTTTCACGCTATCACGATTCGCAGGTATACCTGCTCTGCTGGCAGATCTTCAAAAGACATCGCAAGTTTCCCCGTCGGTAAGGCCGCGATCAAGGCCAATGCTGTTCGCGTGGCCGTGTTATCGGAGCTAATATTTGGCCGATGGGCCGATCTCGTAGACGATGACGCTTCCGCGCACAATGTGCGTCGTGCGTCTGGGCGCTGTGATGAGACTTCCCTTCCTCCGACCTGTGCGCAACGTGGGCCCGTTCGGGGTCAGTACTTGAGACCAAGCCTGGGCCGTTCCAGCCTCCCCATTCATGCCCGTCGTCCTTTCTTGTAGGATGTCGGTGGCCGTCCGCGAGGTCTCCTGGCATGCGCGCGCACTTTCTAGCGTGTGCAATCTTTCTGCGTATAGTGCGGTTAGTTTTGGCAGCTGCAGCGGCCTGCGCGAAGCCTCCATGCTGGCCCCCCTGCTCCGTTGCTCGCGACTATGCCCGGAAGTTTCTATGACCTTGCTCGAGGTCAGTAGTTGGAAGATCCCGAAAACGTGCAAGCTGTTGCCCGTGACGAGCCAGGTAGGGCGATGCACCTTGCAGAAGAAGAGCGCGTTGCTCGCAATCGCGGGTTCGCGCAGTAGCTGCGTGAACACAAGGTCTATTGTGTCTCTCAGTTCTTCTTCCATGCCGCGAAGCGCATTCCGAATAATGTTGTTTCTTGCTGCGGTGGTCGTGGCGCGCCAGCCACGCGCTCGATCGTGTGCGGAGCTCAGGGACCTTTGGGTTAAGAACGGCCTTGGCTGCGTCGTTGTGCAAATCTCCTTCACCATCGGACTACAGGGCATTGGCAGCGATATCTAGTCGCCCACCAGCTGCAACGATCCGTAATGTGAATTCCAATAACTTGTTGCAGAACATCATGTCGCATTCGGCCTCTTCATTGACGTGGCCCTGAACACTGGCTGGTTGCATCAGTGCGTCGCCAGCTTCATCCCGATCTGTACGCGCGCGACATGAGTCACGGACTGCCTCTTATCAAGCGAAGGTGTACGCTGCCAAGGCCAACCTATGACATGGTGGGTCTCATCTCAGGTTTCACGGCGTGGCAACGTCGGGGATGGAGATTGCGCAGTTCCTTGCTGACTACTGCTGGATCTTACCTGCGCCAATTTTGGGGGCCAATCTCCGCGTTCAGGCGCGACCAGTCCTTTAGCCTCGCGCGTGGCCGCTCCTCGGCGGGTGCCTCAGGCGGCGGCGGTGGGTCGTCCTCGCCTTGCGCGCGTCCTCGCCCTCCTACTGTTTGTCTGTGGTCAGCCGAGCTGGAGGCGCCGCTTGATGAGCTGCTGCGATGCCCATGCGCAACGTGCCGCGCTCGATGAGCTGCTGCGCTTGTCCGTAATGATTGCGGTGTGCGTGGCCGCGCTGGCTT